AACCGATAGTGCTTGCTAACCGTTAGCGTATCCGGATACCGCTAACGGATAGCGCTAACCAATCAAGGGTCCTCACAAGGGTGCAAATGGTTAGTGCTAATGGCTAGCTTCGGATCCGGATACTAGGGCTCTGGTGAGAACCAGGCTACATTGTACTTGGTATTAACTGTTACTTCTTTACAAAAAAGGAGAAAACCTATTAAAATATTTAAGTGATCTTATCATATTTGGCTTAATAGTAGCCCTATGTTTTATATTTAATTCATTATAAAAAACACTCAATATTCTTTTATCATTTATGAAATTTATATATTTATTTGTTTATAATTAGCCTGGTTAAATGAAGACACATTAAGTTTTCTTCTATTAAATACAAATGTAAAATATAGTGTTATCATTTTGACAAGCATAATCTGCTCGTTCGCTGGAAATTTCTTGTTTGTAACAAAGTAACTAAGTTTATGATTTGTAACCTAAAGTTTATATTTATTTTTTTAAGAACTCTATTCGCTGGTATGCTTCTCCTTACACCAGCTGTTGGACTCTCATGGATTTTCGGTGTTATAATTGTCTTTTGTCATTCGGAGATGATGGAATATGTATTTGTATTCATAAATTCAATGCAAGGATTCTACATCTGGCTCACGCAGTGCGCCCTCAGCGGAGAGGTAAACAAACGTTGCTTAGTATTTCTCATAATTTGGTAGTTTTGTCTACACTATTAAATTATATCTGACAAAGAACTGCTGTATGCCCATATATAGTCATGATGTGCCTATGGTCATGTCATGTCATCAGGATGTCCGGTATGGTTTTTGTCAAATAAAATGAGTCTGGATAGTGTTTCAGTGTTTCCAATAATAAATTTATCTTATTATTTTATTAGTACTGTAGTCATGATGTGTCTATATATGGTCATGATGTGCTATCCAAAAGGCCAACTCAGACAGCGTCTGTGTGAGTTGAACGCAGACGCGATGGTGTGCGTCGGGGGCAGTCGCGTAGTAGAATATTAAACGTGTTTAATATTTCTCACGACGGCTTAAGACTGTCCCCGACGATAAATCGGGTCGGGCTGCGTCGGCCGACGCTGTCTGAGTTGGCCTTAATGACCACATTTAGGTTTGCTTTAAATTTTATTGCAGGTTCAACTTGCATTGAAGAAGAGGTTCAAAAATCGAACAGGACATGATATTAGCATCAATACTATCAGTAGCACTACAAACACCAACCGTGTTACAATTGAAGAGTTGTAGGACTTAACGTGTCAGGCTCCTCATCACAAACACCAAGACATTTTGACAAACTGATTGAAAACTATACAATGCATTTTGGTTTATAGTTAAGTGATAAGTAATGCATATGAAATTGAGTGCCACACACATGCACATGTATGCGAATATGAATTTTTTATTTTTCCTAGATGACAGTAAATTAAAAAAAATAAAATATAGGCTCTACTGCATAATATGCACTGAATAATAGTAAATCACAAGAAAAGTAACTTTGGTGGAGATACACCTACACTGGTGTTCATGGATCTTTCCGCTAAGCTCCCCCCTTGGATATTGTTGCTAAGGTCACACAAGACGGCCGTGTTAAAAAATACGCGAACACGTGCGTTTGTGGGACAACATGTGTGTTTGTGAGACACGTGCGTATTCCTAGCGCTGTTCTGATTGGTCAGTTGTTGAGTTGAGTTTGATTGACACTTCAGAAAGGTCAATTAAAGGTCAATAAATATTTAGAAAAATGTAAAACCCCATCAGGATTCGAACCCAAGACCTTCCTATTAGATCAAGTCGTATACACCCTTGGATTTTCCTAGGACAATTTTTATACTTCTCAAGGTATTGCATAATACGCAATGAATAATAGTAATCACAAGAATTTAGTAAATCACGAGTATTATGTGTATTTATGCAATACCAATTCAAGGATGTTTTTCGTTCTTTTTGTACTAACTTGCATCATGTTACTCTATGATCATTACAAAAGTAAAACTATACATGATTTACAAGTGTGTTATAACAAACTCACTTTTGACATTTGACTTCCTTCATTCAGGAAATGTATGCACAGTTTTTAGAGTCGGTAGCTTGTGTGACTAATTATGAACAATTATATAAATTCTTTTTTACTTAAGAAACGAAATGACCTATTGTACTAGCTTTGATATACTGTAGACACTTTATATTTATGACTGTTAATAACAGTGTTGTCATTTATTTCATGTTCTGTATGAACTGATATGCCTGAAATAAGTATTACATACAGTAAGCACAATAATTTTTAAAAACATAAACACAGCTCAGTTAAAGCAGGTTGTTCGGCCAACTGAAGATATTGGAATTCCTGGTAGCGACTGTGAAGCTGTGGGCCTAGCCTGGGCATTTTTGATTTGTATAGTTTAGGCATATTTAAACATGTAATTTTTAGACATTGTATACTGCATTAGTGCTATATAAAGATTAATGTACAAATTCTTATGATTGCTACCTATGCTAAAATGCCAAAAATAATACAGACACAGTACTAAGTCTGGCCTAGAAGAGTGTTATACTGTATGCAGTATACAAAACCCTCTGATCAGGACTTGGCTTAGGCTAAGAGGATCCACAGTAGAAATGGCAGATCCAGGGATTTGAAATAGAGAGGGGGAAGAGGCCAGGGAGTGACTTTCACAGACCACCTGAACCCCACCATGGTTGGGGCTAAAGTAAGAAAATTTATGATTACCGGGCACCATTAGATGGCCAGAAATGGTACTATCAGAACTAAATTCGATTAAAATTTTCCTCCTTTCTCCATTTTTATTATAATTTGGACAAATTTAGGGGGGGCCCACCGAGTACCGTAGGTCTTATGTGAGAAAGTGCTCTCATCTACTTACTCCTAGGCATAAAACTAAGGTTATTGGTATACAGTATAATAATATTGTTTATTTTTGGATCCAGACAATTCCAGTTTTCATAATACAAGAAATTCAGCAAAGATATATAGGCTCATTATATTATTATTATTAATAATAATAAAATAAAAAAATAATTCAGATTTTTTCCCTTATAGCACAATGGTTTTGAGATTCCTGCTCTATGGTATAACATTTTACAGATAAACAAGTTACATTATCTTTGCCTAGTACTATACAGGCATTTAACACGATGGAATTCTATGTACAGTGGACAAGAGAATTGGCGAGTGTATGCCCAACCCCAGGTGACAAAGTTAATCTGTCTCCCTACCACCCCATAGTTATAAAGCATGGGTGCTACTTCTAAAGTACTGAAGCTGTAATATTTTGGTATACATACTGTAGTGCACATATAATCATGAACCAGGTTCTATTTGAATTAAAAATATGTAGAATTAGATTTCAAATGTTGAATATTTTATCACCATTGTGAAAATAATCGCCACAAGAATTGAATAAAGAATATACAAAAACAAATTGTTTACTTGTTGATATGGCAACCACATAAATAATTAATACAACTGATAGTCTATTATTAGGACTAATGTAACAAATAGTGTACATCAAATGACAAACACCAATAATATTGTGAAAATAATCGCCACAAGAATTGTAAAAAAGAAAATAGAAAAACAAATTGTTTACTTGTTGATATGGCAACCACATAAATAATTAATACAACTGATAGTCTATTATTAGGATTAATGTATAAATTTTGAAAGAAAATTGAAGAAAAAAAAATATGCAATTTATAGCGTATAAAGTTGAATTGCAATAATTGGTATCACACACAAGGTCACAAGATAATGGAGGATGGAAAGATGATGAAGATAAAGATGGCGATGAAGATGAAGATGATGAAGATAAGGATGGTGATGGCGATGGAGATGAAGGTTATGAAGATAAAGATGGCTAAGGCGATGAAGGTGATGAAGATGCACATGATGATGATGATGAAGAGAATGATGAAGATAATGAGAATGAGGAGGAGGAGAAGGAGAAAGAGAAGGAAAAGAACGAAAAGATTAAGATGGTGATGGTGATGCCGATGAAGGTGATGAAGATAGACATGATGGTGATGATGACGATGATGATGAGTATGAGAATGAGGAGGAGAAGGAGGAGAATGAGAAGAAGAAAGAGAAGGGGAAAAAAGGAAAAGATAAAATTGGTGATAACAATGGAGATGAAAATGATGAATGATGAAGAGAATGATGAAGATAATGAGAATGAGGAGGAGAAGGAGAAAGAGAAGGAAAAGAACGAAAAGATTAAGATGGTGATGGTGATGCCGATGAAGGTGATGAAGATAGACATGATGGTGATGATGACGATGATGATGAGTATGAGAATGAGGAGAAGGAGGAGAATGAGAAGAAGAAAGAGAAGGGGAAAAAAAAGAAAAGATAAAATTGGTGATAACAATGGAGATGAAAATGATGAAGATAAACATGATGATGATGATGATGAAGAGAAAGAGGAGAAGAGAAGGAGAGTGAGAAAAAGGAGGAGAAAGCAGAGGAAGAGAAGGAAAAGAAAAAGATGATGATGATGTTGTTAATGATGATGATGATGAAGATGACAATGAAGAAGATGATGATTATTACAAGATAAATTTTTCAGGTTCAAAGTACCATAAAATGAAAAAATCTGCTATTTTTATGTAAATGTTAAATGTAAAATAAATCTTACAGTGTTCCTTTGCAAATTTTGCGTTTGGTTAAATGATTTGCTGTTAAATTCAATTCATTCTTTATTGTACTGTAATATACTGTATACTGTTTGAAATTCAGGTTGTTTGTTCACAGACTAAAAACAAAAACATACGTATCAATTGATACAATCACATGCTAGAATGAACACGCAACACATATATCACATCCCACCATCACATCAAATGTGTTAGAACTTTTCTTCATAGCATTGCAATGAATAGTGCCATGTATTTGTCAGTAGATTGAAAGTTAATAGACAATAAAAACATTTGTGGTACATACTATGTTGTTTTTTCATGTTAATATACTTAGTCTTGTTATTCTACCTACTGCCAAAGACAAGCCAAACCACTCACTCCTTGCAAATTATGTTTCAGAGATAATGGCCAAAACATGCTGGAAGGAATGCAAACTTTTTGAAATTTATTTCATTGCACTAACTATATGTAACCTTTCTTATACATCATGTTATTTTCACCATTTTCAATGTTAAAACAACATTTTTTAACATTTCATGATTGTCTCTGCCTGAGAAATGCCTGAAATTGTGAACTTTGAAGTGTGATTTCTGAAATACTGTTCTTTAAACTTGAGTAACTTCATAACAAAATGTTAGATTTAAATGATTCTTTTACCATTTTATAGCTCTCATTTTACTGTTTAATCATACATTAATACAAATAAAATGTATATTTTAAGAGGAGTGACTGGTTTGGCTTTTCTTGTCTTTGCCACATATAATATCTATTCCACTTCTGACCCATTCTCATCTAAATAAGCATTTTCACTATTTACAAATGATTATTTCAACAAGTTTAAACAAAAATAATTGTGCTTACTTGTTTTCTGTTTTGCAGTCTGAGTATAAAGCACCATCAGTATGAATGAGGCATCATGTAAATAGTAGTTTATACTTTTGTACTGTAGTGACCGATTAAAAAACAAAACAACTGGAATGAACAAATTCACTGAAATAAAAATAGTAATAATCATAAATGTAGAATTATACAGCGGATATTGTTAACCACCTCTATGCACTTCACATTACCATTACCCCGGTCATTGGATTAAACGCTTATGAAACACTCCCTGTGGGAGTATTCCATAACGTTGCAGCAGCTACATCAGTGCATTTTGGCATTTAACCCTACCAGGTGCCCAATTATACTCTGCAATGCAGAAAGTGCCTTGCCCAAGGACACAAGTGAGACCCCAACCTCAAGGTTGGTAAACCAAACTGTTCCCGATGTGCCAAACCATTTCCACAAATACAGCTGCAGTAATATATAACAAAGTTCATTCATTCACTCGAACCATATTCAATTTTTTAATTTATTCACATAACATTCACTCAAAGTACAACAAAATTGTGAGCTGTCAATAATGAAAAGAATTAAAGCTCAAACTAACTTCTTCATTCATTTGCCTGAAAGCTTGTGTTTGTAAACAATGGGCCACCAGTTTTATGAACTTTTCATTTACTCAATGCATTAATTCATTCATTTATATATTAATTCAGTCATATTCATTCATCTTATCATTAATTAATTCATTAATTCATTAACTAATTCATTCATTCATTTATTCTATCATTAATTAATTCATTCATTCTATGATTCATTCCTTCATTTATTCTATCATTATACATTTCTCATAATCATAATAAAATTAAACATACAAATTACTAGGAGCTATGTAAATTCTTTATTTACTATGGAAATCTGAAGACATAGGCCTAGTTATGGAAATACATTTATTTAACAAACTTGAGAAGTCTGATGTCTGATTGTACTACTACCACTAGCCTACTACTACTAGGCTAGGCCTAGTACTACTACTAGTACTAACAGTACAGTACTACTAGCCTAGGCCTCTAGGCTAGGGCCTGACCCCTTTGCCTGGCCTAGCTACAGTATTGTCATTTCAGCTTTTCGTGATAGGCTATATATATAAGGTCATATGGATAAGAGTATGTTTCACAATTAGCATCAAATGTGAAAATTTATAGAATGATGAGATGCCTCCTTTATTAAAAAAGCACCTGACCTGTCTGGGCCTAGCATAGGCTAACCTTCGTTCCGAGCAACGGCGGGGGTTGTCGCCATTCAGTAGTAGACTATTGTAGCCTAAAAAGGCCTCTCCGAGATTCTAGCTTTTAAATATAGACTGACTTAACATCAATTTTGGATAATCGATCCTTCAGTTAATTATTTGTGATTTTTCCGTGGTGTCTTTAATAAATCATATTAATCATCATATGATCAATGTATCATTCAGAAACGCCGCCCGCTCTCTGCTTCTCTTCTCTCGAACAAACAAAACAAAAATCTTAAATACGGTGGCCCACAACTATCATCAAAGCCTCGCAAAATTAAAGTGAAGATGCCATCAGAATTCCTCACACAATTGCACATCTCTTTTTCTTTCTTTTTTCCAATGACCTTCTAGGATACGATAGAAGTGTCACCTTCTTTTAATTTAGTTTTAAAAAAAGAGTTCATACACTTACACAATAAAACTGAGTACTATCTGACCTCAGAGTTTAGAACAAAAAATCTTATCTTGTCTACTTTTATATGACTAAACAATTCAACAAAGATAATAATTTCATTTTAATGCAATTTTGATGTTCTTAGTTGTGTTGATGTTTTTACCTAAAAAGTTCTTTAAAATACAATGTTTTATTACAATTAATAATGAATACCCTTTTATTAAAATTTGCTCCGGTTTGCCAAAGATTTTAATCCACCCAGCGCGACTGCTAAAAAAATAAATAATTTTTCCGGCCGCTTTTGTTACTTAGAAATTGTATTTCTGTTAATAGAACACGACCACTTACTCTGGCATTGTTAACAAGAGTCTGGCTTTCCTGAGTTTAGTTTAGCTCACTGTTAGTGGCGTATGAGTATTGCTATGGCATAGACATGAGGAGGGGAATAACAAGGAATAAAGGATTAAGTGATTGTGTGACATCATCAAAGAAATGCTTAGGAAATGTACTATTATTTTATTTGCTGCTGCATATGCTGTGTGCAAAGCTGAAATGGTAACGATAAATTAGAAAGGAATTAAGTGTTCATAATATGTTATATGTACAAAAATCGAATTAAAAGAAATTGAATTCTCATCTAACGTCAGGTAGTTGTAGAACAACGATTTAGAAAAAAGTAAAAAAACCCAAAAGACCTTCGTTTTTATGTGATTAACCAATCATCTAGCTGATGCTATTGATTGATTTTTACTCAGTAAAATTACTTTTGTTGAAAAGCGATGCTTTCATTGAATTAATAATGAATGAACTTTATATAAATGTTGTTTGTTAACAGTTTTGTGTACTTTGTTCGTTTTGAAGATTATTGAACGCTTATTAAAAATTAGGCTACACTACTTATAGACTGGAAGACAGAGGTAACATCTTTGTCAACACCAACTTTTTCGTAATCATAAAACGTATCTTTGTCACACATTTTCCCTTTTAATGTGTGACATCATCAAAGAGAAGTTTTGGAAATGTACAATTGTTTTACTTGCTGCTGCAAATTATGTTGTGTGTAAAGCTGAAGCTAACGGTAAGATAGGCCTACATAGGGATCGCGAGTACTAGGAAAAGGTGAAGCCTCATATTCTTTTTATCCTTGTAGTAGTTTAAAGTTCAGTTTACCTTAGTGTACCAGGAATAATTCCAATCTACATTTTCTAAACTAATGTTTCATACCCATCTAACCTCATTAAGGGCGTAGCTGCTGGGCCCTTTTGGTGTGAAGCTGCCAAAGGTCCCGGTGGGATCGAGGGGGAAAACTTTCCCCGAAGCTCAGACGCTTTAGATTTTTACGAGCTGTATTTATTTGATTTAAAAAAAATAAAATTCATGTCATTCACGTTATTATTATTATTATTATTATTAAAAAGCATTTATATAGCGCCTTTACAAAAGATCAAAGTGATGTACATTAAAAGCAATTTTCACAAAGATAAGGGTAAGTACAATAAAAAACCACTCATACGAAGTGCATCGTTACATTTTCTTTATTTTAATTTGTATTTTCGTGTATTATGGCTAAAAATAAATAAAACTAATATAACAGATAAACACAGAACTATCGTTCGAAAAAAACTGGACAAATTTGCGAGAGTGAGTTGATATTCAGAAATTTTTGTTATCTATTAATACAAGAGAAGGATTTGCATTTAATCTTATCTTAACTCATCTATTTAACACACACAAAATATTAAAGAAACTTTGAAGTCTACTATCATTAGGATATGCAACGTTCTGCAGAGCGATTGGTTTAATTTCCCAGTCCCTTAAGAGAATTAAGAAGAAACACACTAAGTGAAAGTAAGAAATTATTAAACTGTTTGTTAACTATTAAATGGAGATTTTTATTTGATTCAATTATTATGTGTAGGCCTAGGCCTACATAGTATAAATTAGGCAATTTAAGTATCAAAGTTTTCATTTTTTAGCTTATGACAGACAGTACAGCTTAATATAAACACAAGTGTTTGTGTACATGCACTCATTAAAATAATAGTAGCAACCCGACGCCAATTTATTATTGACAAAATTGGTCATTGTTGACTAAGGCCTAAAATTAAAAAGTACCTCAGCCGGCGACGACTCCAAGAGCAAAATGCACATCGTGAACATACCATGGTGTGAACTGCATCAACAACAAGGCGAAGCTATATCAACTGTCTCTTATACACATCTAGATGTGTATAAGAGATTGGTATTAGACAAAATTTGATGGTTTCAATATTTTGTTTTATAACAGTAATACAATAACTGCAGGGAGCAAGAGATTCTTTGATTAGGTCCATGATGAAC